TGTCATAGCATTTCAACAAACTGTACTCAATTTATAACCTTCAGGTCCGTGAGGTTGAATGTGGCCCCAGGTCTGGAAAACGTTGAGGACCCCTGAATGAAAAGTTGGGACCTTGTATGTTTACGTAACAATGTGGTATGACAATTTAAGCGATCAAAAACACAAGTGCGCCTTCAATTTGCAGGTCGAAAAATACAGGATGTGCTTTATGACAAAATCAGCTATAGGTAAATTGAAAGAGTAAAAAGTGGCTTTTGTATTGGGGTACATAAATCATCGAAGCAATTTGGCCCTTATGAAATTGCACATTTCCTAGCAATTATTGGTGTAATGCGATATCCAATAGGCACATTTTAATTTTCCAGGTAGCCTACTTTATGTTGAGGATACAAAATTTGCCAAAGAAGCCTAAAGTAAGTGAAGAATTTTAAGACAGACCCAGGCCGATTACAAAATGATTTATTTTGCGTATAGTAAGACGGTTTGGGCATTTGACAACGACATATAAACCAACCACTGCACAAACATGGATATTTTCTGGAATGTTGCGCCGTGTAGTCTGGTAGAAATTGGCCGACGTTTCAGATGTGTTCACTGCTTCCAACACAACTAATGCTGGAGACGGGAGCTCTGAAACGACGGTCAGTTTCTACCATACTTTCTCCGTGAAAACCTAAAATGTCGGCTACTGCAAACGCCAATTGTTTGCGATGAAATGTTTTGGAGAAAATACACTTGAGAACCCGGGAGATTCTTCTACATTGTCGCTTCTCATTGGACCACGCCCCGATCCTCTGCTACAGTTCAATCACGGCAGTCAACTCCCAATGCCACAGGAAGTAGCTCTGAAGGTGGCAACTACAATGTGTGTCGAATAGCTGAAAATCCAACATTCGGCTCAGCCCATCCGCGAATGAATAAGTTATGCAAGAAAGTGACTTTGAACTTAGTGCACCTGACACGGGCGTGCCTCGAAACTACTGTTCTGTAACGCTACAAGTAGCCATAGTGACAAGGAGTCAAGGCCTGATACCCGTACGCCCTGTTCTTTCCGGTTTATTTGTTACTAACTTGTACGGGCCCTCCGCAACGACACGAAATGCAAATCACTTCGGTTGGTCTCTATGTATTCGCCGCTGAGCCACTCACGCTAGAAATATCTCTATTGTACGAACGTTTGAAATGAGGACGCCATCAAGGTGAACATTGCCTCTTCGATTATCGAGTGAAAAATCGATCGATCGTAGCAACGAGTGCACGGTCAATATAAATCGACGACAGATCGACCTGACAGCCCGAGGTTTAAATAGCGTTGCCACAGTGTCCATGCCGGTTACTGGAAGTATAGAGCGTTATATACTACATTCTTCCCACACCCAGACAATCTCTTATCTAGCACCCACGTTAAAAACACGTGGAGTTATCTACACTCCCCCACCCCACCCATACGCTTTCATGACATATAGGCTTCATAGCGTCTTATGGAAGATGAAACTGACAACGAACGAGGAGAAAATGTTCGCAGAATAGTCGTCGAATTTCCTCGCAGGGACTGAGGAAAACCTAGACAACCAAAGAAGGGTTTGAAGTTCTCAAGGCGGTTAGTACAAATAAGGATGTCGTCTGGGTTGTAGCGCCGTGTATCCCCGATGATGGAGACAGCAAGGACCTCTTAAATGTCGGTAAACTTCTACCAGATTACACGGCGCTACAACCTTGACGATAGCCAGCCATCTTGAAGATAATCTACTTTCGGCCCAAGACCTGATACCGAGGCCTCCAATACACAAACAGCGTGTATTGTACAGTCTTGCAAGGTCGTTTCTTCTTCTTGAAACGAAACCTCAGGCGTACGAGGGCCGAAGCCTTCACTCACGCTTTGCAACATTTTTGATAGACCATTCTTCTTGCCAGAGTGGAATACATTATCACTGTTGCCTTCATGTGCACAGCTTCGCAACGAGCAGCTAAATAGGCCTACTTCTGCAGGTGCTAATCGATAATCGATTGGCAACAACACAGGGAATCCCATACTGTAACATTGGCCAAATATGGCTAACACTTCTCACTGTTCCATTATGTGGAATGATATGTCCTGCTTTTAGTTGAGCTACGGAGCATTTCGGGAGGTGTCCGATCCGGCTCCAAGACACCGTTCAAAGGCACAAGTACCTCTGTAACGTCGTTAAACTTCTACCAGACTACATGGTGCTACAACCCAGAAGTCAGCCATCCTCGTACTCATCGCCATGAGAACCTCAAATACTACAAAAAAGGAAGGCAGTTCGTTCCAGAATATGGAATGCGGATCTAAGCAGCAAAGGATCGTTGCGCTGTATTGATCGTCCCCTTTTCCATGAATGAGCATCAGACGTCTCTGAAACTTTTATAATGTTCAATGACGTCACTGCAGACACACCCACGCCTTCTAGACGTGCGGAGTGACGTCATTTGCACAGCGGAATAAGCCGAAATTGTGACGCTAGATGTCCTAGCAGACGGGGACGTGCAAGCAACACACACGCCTACAACAGGGATCTCAACGCGTGCATAATTCAGATCGTCTTCATTATTTTATGACTACTGCTATCTGGAAATAATATGTTTCAGAAAGGACACTTTATGAGCCCGTCCAATTCTGTCCATCTGTTGTTTTCTCTTATAGCTCTATTGCTAGCTAACCGCCGAGCCATTTTTAGCAGTGCAGTAGCGACGTGCAACACTTAACCCTAAAACAAAAATGAACGGCAAACTATCTACGGATGGTCAAGAACGCGCAATATGAGCTACATGCACCATCTAGTAACGAAGAAGAAAATGATGTGTTCAAGTATAACGGTGATGAACCTTCGTGTTCCCTAAGCCATCTAGGTAGTGCACTCTAGAACTAAATGCACATATTCGTGGTACACCCACAGATAATACGAATGCAGCAGCAATGCTACCTAGTTAAGGTACAAATACTGTGAAGGACAAAAACTGAATTACAAGCAACCAAATTTTAGTTATAACAGAGACTGAATGTGGATTAAATGGAAACTCGTCTATCAGAAAAGTTCTCTGGTTGAACAAATTTACACCGAAAAACCATTACCTCTAATTAAATGGAAAACTGGAGGTGACAGGCAACATATAGGCCTATGCCAGCAACGTTAAATTCAGCTTTCTTCATATACACGTTCTGAAGGAACTACCACAGATAGATAGATAGATAGATAGATTTAAAATTTCCACCATATATTTTATATAAATAAATCTACAAGTTTAGCATATATACATTGCATAATATATTTTGCTGTATTCAATGCAACTGTCATTTCCTGGCTCCTACCTCAAACTGCAAGACTCACCATCGAGCACTACAAGGTTTTCCTAAAACAAGTCAAGTTATCACTTCATAAAAACAACAAAATTAGCTAACCAATGAAATAGCAGTTCCTTATAGGTGCCAGGTAGTGACAGTTGCATTCGGCTGTATCAGTGAAGAGACTGCATTTCACTTTAACCTTAAATCTTTTATTTAAAATCATTTGCATCTAGGCAGCCTCTTGTTGTAACTATTGCCTTATATTTTTATCACTATCAACATTTTGTGAAGCAGTGGTGAAAATTTCAAGGCTCTATCTCACATAGTTTATGAGATTAAGGTACTGGAAGATGAAGAAACATAGTTTTGAAGAAGAAACAAATCAGCATTATGTATGATTTGAGGTTTTCACAGCGGTGAGCATGAAGATTTCTGTCTTCTGGGTTGTTGCGCTGTGTAGTCTGGTCTGTTACCAACGTTTCAGAGGTCATACTGCCTCTGTCCCATTGGCTAGGAGCAGGCTACTCCATTCACGGTCCGGCTCCTATAAACCTAGCCCGACCCACCCAATTGGCACATTCATCGCCCTGATGACGGAGGAAGTATGACCTCTGAAACGTTGGTAAACATCTACCAGACTACACAGCGTAACAACCCAGAAGTCTTCAAATCAGCATTACTTAACATGGTAATAAGTAATTATACAGACTCACATTTAATGCATTCCATCACCATATTCTGTATCATCTTGGCCTTCTAGATCTTCCTTTCTTCTTTTGTATGCCCTTTTGACTTTCCTTGTTTCTTTTTGGATACTCAGTGTTGCTATTTTTACCTTCTGAATCCTTTCCATGTCTATCTGCTTAAGAGTTTTCACTGAGTTTGTGCCAAATATCACACCTAGAAATAACATGTCTTCTCAGTACATTAAATGATCATTAAAGCACAACAATGCATCATGTACCTTTAGTGTGCCCAGCCATATAAAACAGTTTAGGGTAATGTTGTCCAAATAACCAATTTCAAACTCTCATTGGGATTCTAATTTTTCGCATAAAACCATCTCTTCAGATCTTCACTGGCAGGAAACCTGAAAACTGGCTTAAGAGCATCCACAACAGCAGCTGGTAATAAATATCTATTTACATATACAAATACAAACTGACACTTTTCTTGAACTTACACTAATTACTTAAGTAATATGGGCAAAGCTGTGTGATAAACTACTCTCATATGAAGATAATGACTAAAAAGGTTGCCTGTCAACACCTACCGTTCCACCACTTGTTCCTTCATACTTCTTTCTTACACTTACACTGAGGAGCTGGATTAAAGTTTCAAAAAATGTAAAACTTCATTATTTCTGTAACTGAAACTGTATCAAATGATGCAGCACATATTATACCACTGAGGAAAATTATCCACATTATTGCAGCTACAACTGAAAGAAACAGTTATATGTGATGAATCATCTTTTTTTTCTGCCACAGCTTATCTGTTTCCGTCATAAAGGACTCACAACATCCACATTATTTTGGAGACTGAGCTATATATTAAACAACACATATTACTTGTATCTTTACCAATTGATCTACACTAAACGGATATTATTCTCATACAACTTGTCCTTGGTAGCATCTAAAGTCACTGTATCTGCAATAGTCACTTTTGAAACAATAACAAAATTACTTACCTTTCCTCTTTGACGGATTTTCACAGCATTACCACCACAATGATTGCAATTCGTGTTCACGAAGCAATCCGAACGAACCACCTTCACAGACATCACCTTCAGTATTATAACTGTTTTCCTAACCTGAATTTACACACGTAACAAGCGCTAAATTTTAGATACGCTTTTTCACTGTGGTGTATGTCACTTTGGCTAGATTGAGGCTGTCTCTGTTATGAAACACCCACTGTATTGTGCACAATTACATATTTACTTCCTCTAAACAGTTCTGATTCAGATTATTCTTTAAATTATGAATGAAGAAACTTAACATGTGTCCTCCACAACCTAATGCAAACACAACGAAAGTAGGATTAAATATTGATATGAACAGCATAGGCAACATTACAAATAAACATCTCTCTCTCTCAAAAAAAATAAAGACATATACCTCTTTATACAAACTGAGCACGTAATTTTGATTTTAAACAATAGATTTTCAAAAATCGTACCAAATGTAATTTTAACGGTGAAAAGTCATGGAATTAAAATATGCCATCAGATCTTACTCTTTTCTTTGGTTATTGCTGCCTACTGCCTTACAAGTTAGAATCTTGCCTTTTGCACATACAAGATGCAAATTTTAAGCTGTTTCATAAGTGTTTACATGCTTCACTGAATATATATAAAATTATGAGAAAGTAAACATTTGATTTTATAAATGAAACCATTTTCCAAACACAGATTACTGAAGTGTAAATAAATATTAGCTGCAGCCATACAAATACACAACCTACCAAGCTTTCACCATGTTTATTGCATTTATATTTCTTTCCTTCATTGTGACTTCAGTTGCGAAGACAAGTCAGTATAAACCCGACAACTAAAGCCAAGTCATGATGGCTTGTAGAATGACATATGGCTCAGCAATTCCCACACAGCAGGGCATTTTAAGGAAAAGGAATAATATTTCTTGTTTAGATACAATTCTTAAACAGTTTTCTGGCAAAAACATAACTTTTATTTCTGTCTCTTCATTAAGACCAGTTTTAAATCTAAAAAAATGCTTTCCTAATAAAACTTCCAAATATTACTCATTTCTCCATTACTGAAGATCATCTCTAATACATACTGTATTTCTTAGATGCCAAGCAATGATTATTCTTCTCAGTGCATTTGCCATTCAAACATTTAAATCAGACAACACAAGATCACAAGAGTAAATGAATTTACACATCAATCTCTTATTTCCAAGTGATCCCCCATGATGATATCTCATAATTTATTGAATGTTTAACTGCATAATAATTTCAAATATTTAAAAAACCAGAACTCTCAAAACAAATAAAATTAACCACATATACATATTTAACATCAGAACTAATACTATATACAGTACAATCATCAATTTTCTTACAAATTCAGTCACCTGACAACCATGGCATACCCTGAAACTCATGTATCCACAAGGTATGGGAACGTTATTATAGAATGTTCCTTAAAAACCCAGCCCTAGCTCAAACTATAGAATTGAGAATTGGCAGTAGAAATGTAACATTTAAGTATCAATACAATACTCTAGGGAAAAGCGAGTTTCAGGATACCGCACAATTTCCAGATGCCTATTTTCCCATAAAATCAGTTAAATGTATTTGGTTTTATACACTTATCTTAGTTTGTGAATATAAAATTACCTCTATATCCTGACTGAAAATGAAATAGACACCTCATCTCAAAAAATATGGAAAAACCCACATCTAGTACCATGGTGACAATGAAATAACTGGAATGGCTTAAAGACCAGAATTACCTCAGTTTTTACATCAAAACACACCAATGACCTAGTAACACTTCTCCACTTGGCTTAATTATAAATGTACGTACATAACTCTAAAATACTACTGTTCCTAGTGCTACTAGGCCTATAACTGACATTCAGTACTGAAATGGAACTCAAGGATACAGCATCACTTTAATGACAGTGTCACTAATTTGGTAATGTAAGGCATTTTATTTTCTTTAGGAACAATAGCATATGTGATGCATTAGCATATACAAATCTCAGGATCGTAGAGACAGGAGGGGAAAAATACCATAAGAAGCTACATCTCTGAACAGAAAAACCATACTCTGAATTATGTTATTCTAGTTTACAATGCTAACCTTTTAAACATGCAGTAAGTACTATAACATTTATTGCAGTGATAAGATTTAAATTTCGAGCACATAGGCAGGTTAGATGATATATTTAAAACACTTGTTCTTTGTTTCTGTACCTTCTTTTGTAAAAATAGCCTGATTTTAATGGCCTTCATCACTGTAACATTAGCACTGAAAATAGAACACATTAAAAGGCACCAAGCAAAGGTCACTTTATACTTGATAACAAATTTTCAGTAACACATAAGATTTGAGGTTTTCCATGGCTGTGAAGATGATGATGATGATGATCTTCTGGAGTTTGGCACCATGGAAACTTGTAGGCTGATGCCAACATTTCAAAAAATTATACTGTCTCCAGCCCTGAACATGAAGACAGTATGTTTCTCAGAAATATCCACATGGCACTAAAACCCAGAACATCATTTTCAACATGGATAAACACAGACTTATATCACACAGTCTTCTTAACAGAAAAATGACCTTGATATGTTTGCAGCTATCAGAACACAGATGACATCTTCAAGAAAAATTCTTGGCATGTCAGCAATTTAAATGTTTGAAGCAAAAAACATGCTGACCACAACTTGATGTTGAAGAACTTTGTTTAATATCCTGTCCAGCATGAATTTGAAATCTGACCATTCATTCCCAAACACTGTAATGATTAGTCTGTCTCCACATGAGCTACAAACCATGAAGGCATTCAAGATAGGCCGAATAACCCTTCAAAGAAAAAGGTAATCGAAAAATATTTAAGAATTCAGTCTGTACCTCAAAGAAAACACAACACTTCACCATTATAAAGATCAACTGGTTTTTGCTGTTTAATAAAATAATCCCTGCCCTCATGATGCAGACGATATGTTTCTCCAAAACTCTTGACATCTACTGACAAGTCTACATGGCGCCAAAACCCAGAAGAATATCACCATCTTCGTCTATCTCGTTCTCCTTCAAACAGGATAAAGAGGATGCAAAGTAATGGCATTTCCACAGGCCAACCACACAAGTGGGGAGTTTTAAAATATAACCCCTTGTTAAAACAGAAATTTTTGAGCTTACCTGCACCTTTACTGACAAGACAGTGTAAACTGTATATCCAACCTGTCAGGTCTAGGCCTTTTTACTTCTAATTTCTTTCCACATGGCCTTGAAGTAAAATGCAATTCTAATACGGGTACAGCAGTATTCATTCCTTTTCCTCAGTACACTCATATAAACATCATAAAATGTGTAATACCAAATGCCTAAGGTTTAGTAATAACAATCTTCACTATGATGGAATGTTATCAAACTTGGTTCACAAACAAAACAAGATATTTATTAACATAATCATGAAGGTTTCCTGAATAAACACATAAACATCACCTCATTTGACTACGGCATCTCTCTCGTTGAGTTGCGTCATGCTGATACACAGTCAAGACAGCAATTGGCACCTACAGCACACCAAAAGACGCAGCCAATGCAACAAACCGGTGAGTCAGCTTAACATCTAAGCTTAAACTGAAGTGTTTCTAGGAAACGATACTTTTTATACAACTGGGAAAGTACATAAGAGTGAATTAGCACACATTACCATATCTGCTGTCATTAATATGTGTACATAATGTTTCTCTGTAGTGAAAATTCCTGTGTTCTGGGAATGTGTTATGTTTGTAATTTTGGTGGGGCATTGCCCAGGTGGCCTCTCAAGAATTCAATATTAAACCTATGCACCTGGGAAAAAATTGTTAAATGTGCAAATAAGATAAGTTAAAATAAGTGAATTAAATGGAATAACCACTGTGTAATTAATAAGTTTTTACTAAATTGGTCCTATAATCAAAAAGTATAAATTTCTGTTGAAGTCTGGCAAGTGTTTTGTCAATTTTTTTACTTCTTTTGTTAGTCTGACAAAAAAGTATTAAAGAAATGTTTCCTCATCAAAGTAATTCAATCATTAAGCAAAGTAATAAAACAGTACTACTGCATTAGAGCAATGTGAGATGAACTTTTTTTAAAACAAAACAAATACTTAAAATATTATCCATGTCTGCCATCATACATATCCAAATAAATGTTTCATTCAAAAATCTTAGTCCCGGCCCCCAATTTTCCCGCAATGATCGTTTCTGAGAATTTAAAATGCTGGGTTTTGAGATAAATTAATACCGAAAGACGCACAATGTTTTTGGAATACACAGTAGTGGTAACCTGTTATGTCGCCCAACCAGCACATTCTTTTGGAATGATGGTCAGCGGTGCAGGGGTGATAGTTGGAGTGAATGGCGGTGCTCATTGTCAGAAATTTTACGCTTTTAATTTGGGTGCACTCATATTTCGTTCCAGCGATGCCAGATGGCATGTGCAGTGTGAATTTCTTCACAAATGCTTTTATTATAAGTACAAAGGAAAGGCTGGCGGCACTTTTCATTCTTCTGGTTCATCTCGTTTCCAGCGGCTCAGGGTCTTCTACAGCTACGTTTCGTTGAGTTCGGCAGTAATAGTATTTCCATTCTTCCTGTTATTGTCCGCAAAGGGGGTTGGAGTGGTGAGGAAGAGGGAGACGACGAATGCGAGCCCGAAGCTTTGCCGAGTTTTGCCGAAGCGCACGCTGCATTGGCGAAAGTGAAGTTGTTCTTTTATGCGCTTAATATTAGTGAACGTGACGAGGAAAACATTTTGAACGTGGAAAGTGCTCTGTTTGGTCTAAAACGTAAAGTTTCGACAAACCAGTTGTCCATTAAAGACTTTTTTGGTAAAAAGAAGTAACTTTGAAAGAGAAACATTGTTTTTTTTAAATTTTTAATGCTTTCCCGCATCTATCGTTTTCCCGCATTCATCGTTTTTATTTCCCACCCCCGCCGAAAACGATGCATCGAGGTTTCACTGTATTTAAATCGGGTTTCTGCTGTATACGGACACCTCTGCTACAGCACTTTGTGTTCATGAGTTAAGAATCATTTTGTCTTGACCGACATGCTTACAAAGAGATACTGCTATAAAACTTCAGTACACCAATCTTCAAACAATTTTAAAATCTTTAAAGTAAAAAATATTACTGGCTGAAGCCACAAAGCAAGCCATCTGTGATTTTGAGCCTTTCCTATCTTATTTTGAAACATGTTTATTTCATTATGTTCTACTTTCCTTGTTCTAAATGCTTTTATAAAGAGTCAACAAAAATACCTTTCACTGTTTTATCACCACACTATTTCAAATTTCAAATTAAAATAGTAGAATCAAATTCAGAGAATGAGATTAAAACATTTAATAGTGCAATAATTAAGAGTTTTAACTGCAATTATACAAATCAGTTTTCAAAAATACTTCAACTTCTCTTAACACATTTGGTAATGTTGATTTATACACATTATAGCACATGGATAAAGACTCAGCATATAAAGTACAGAACATTTTATGAGGTAAAGTGACCTAATTCTATACGGTACTCACCTTACAGTATATGCAATTTTCATAGTTCATCTGATGCTCGGCCTAAATGTTTGTCTTCATTTTCACTGTCTAAAGAAGTTCTGAGCTCCTCTCTACTTTCATTTTCACTATCACAGCTTTCCTCTTCCGCTGTTCCTACCACTATATCATCACTGTTCTCCGATTTCACACTTTTAACTATCTTCTTTGACACTGGGACCTGTTTGACAGCGCCCTTTACTAAAATGTTACTCTCTCCTCCTTCCTGGATGTTCTGCTCTGTTTCAGCCTGTCCTGCAGGCGTAACACTGAACTTCTGCTCCAAAATAACTATTTTATTCTCTTGACTAGCCTTGCTGGCCGCGCCAACCTGCACTAGTTCAGCAAGCAGCCATGCAGCCTGCAAATGTGCAGAGGGTTCCCCAATCCTGCCAGAGAACTGTTTATCAAGCAACTCGCGATAGAGACGAAGCAAGGATGCAGGCACTACCACTTTCCCCTTGTTCTCTTCTTCAGTCAGCACAGTAAGCAGTCGGTCGCGCACTTGCATCCAACGTTCTATCTCTAGTATCTTACCGTTCTCTCCTCCATTCATGGATACGGCAGGCTGTACTGCTTTCGAGGAGTCTCGACGCGAAATACGAATGATCTCCTGACCACCAGCATTATGTTCCACTGCTGCGTGGAAATCACCCACATCACCTTGTGACACCTCTAGAGTATCTACATTTCCCTGAAAAAGAAAAAGGATGTTTACAAGGAGAACTGGTTTTATAAGAAGCAGGACGTAACTCTCCCTATTTTGTGGCTATCATGGTTCAGCATCTGCCTGAAAGGTACAAAATTGTATAGAATGTCCTAGCAACTCAGCAACATTACCATGACAAATATAAAGTTACAGAGTAAATTTTCTTTTGACAAAATAATGTCTTACAATTTCCTTTATTCTATTTCATCCAGATGTTCTAAGCTTAGAGCAATTACAGTATGAATGTGCGCACTGATGTGCATAAGAAGCAACAGTGCATGTTGCTAGTACACGCAACGATAAGTAAAACTGAATGCAATTGCAAGTCACCTCAAACTCATTATACTCCTTTATCTGTACCATAAAATACAATTTGGATAGAAAATTGCAACCTTTGAAATAGCATCCTCCTTGCTCAGAAACTCCTGGACCAAATTTTTCAAGTTTTCCAATGTTGAATCTTGCAACTCTTCTTGCGATAAAGAGGATGAATCATCACTTCTCAGCTTATCAGTAGATGATTTTTCTAGAAACAAAATCAGGATTTTGTAGTGTATACATAATATTATACATATCTACCAACCTGTATAAAATGAAGCAATACTAGGAGAAGAAAATGATACAGAATAATAATTTTCATACCTTCTCTAGTATTTTATCAGGCACACTAAAAGGTGTCTGACTCACATTTTAGAGTAACCTTTTTGAATAACAGTTGTGGACAACGTACTCTGATAAGAGGGATCTTGTATACAAAGGACAGCACTGCAATCCAATAAACCAGCAGTACTCAATTCTCTTCTTCTTCTTTTTATTTTTTTTTTAAACTGACATGTAATGATATTGGAAGGTTTCTTCTCTGCAAAAGATCACCACTCTCCACATATTCACTCTACACATAATTAACTATTTGAGCAATGGAAAGAAAGAGGTACCTGTTCCACGTTGCTGTTCCAGGGCTTTCATTCCAGCCACAGTCACTTCAAGGGCAGGACTGCTGCTCACAGCTTGCAGCAGCTGAGAAGCATCCTGGTAGAAGAGGAACACCACAGGAATGTTGACATCATCGGTGCCATCACCCGACATGGCAAACATGGGCGACGTGGCCGCTGATGTTCCTGGCGTATTGTCAACCACAATGCCTGCGATGGCTCCTGCTTTCTGGATTCGCCTTGCCTATTATGAAAGTTTATAACAGCTGAAAAACTACTAAGCAAAGGCCTTCTTCAGAAGCAAATAGTCACTCAGCTAGTCAACAACTTTCCTACCTTTTATGGAAACTGAACGTTCATTCCCAAGTTCACAAGAGCCCACTATGAGTCCCTGCAGTTATTAACAGTTAGCATTAGCAAAAAATAACAGACTTAACAATTTCGGTTGGAAGTCTGAAGGGAAGACGAGACCATTGCATAGTTCGAAGAATTGTATCATACCGGACCTTAATGAAAAAAGGTGGGAGTGTGTAAATGGGGCACATCTGGCTTAAAACAGGAACTGGTGGTGGGCTCGTATTAACGCAGTAATAAACTTAAGTGTTCCGTAAAAAAGGCTACAAATAACTTGACTAGTTTGGTGGCTATCAGCTTCTCATAAAGGACTCTGTTCCATGAAGTTGCATAGTCAAGCCTATTAAAATAAAAGTTGTAAGGAAAGAAACCACTGTCATAAATATTTCTTGCGTCTTCATCAATACATAAGTTTTGTGAAGTGGTAACATTTTTGACTTGTATTCAGGAGATGCCCAGCTCATTTCTTTAAAATTACATTCTCACATCACAAACAAATTTTCACATACCTTTTCAATGAACATACAGTCACCACGCTCCATTATAGCAATACGCCCTCTCACGTGTTCTGGGTTTAGTAGATCCCCACACAATCGTAAAGGATCAGCAACACCTATGCGACCTTTTACCTGTAAGATGCATGTTGTTATACAATAAAAAACAATCACTGCTTAAATAAAACCCTACTAAGACAGTTTAATTACACATACTCACCATCACATTTACCCCATTAACATATCTCATTAATTTCTATCTATAGTAGACACTCACACCAAAATAACTTGTTTGACTCAAAGTAACAAATTGTTGACCAAATATTCATACGAGATAATGCGACAACAGACTCACCTGATCAGTACCACGCAACTCACGTCCAAAGTGTGCAGGTCCAGCACTGATTACCACCTGTTTATCCTCAACACCACCTGCACTTTGTACCATAAAAGCAACAGCTTGAGGTGTATCGGGTTGTTGCGACTGCATCTTAGCCAATTCCACCATTTCCTGCATGAACAACAATCCCTCTTCCGCATCAGTCGGTGTTCGAGCCTACAACACAAATAAATTTTACTTGCACAAAAGTGTCAAAAACAAAAACAAAAATCTTGTTGAGTTCATAGGTGAATGAAAGACTAAAGTTAACTAAAATGCCATTGCAAAAAATTATATTAAAGTTTTTCATTCCCAATCATGTTTACTGTAAACATAATACTTTATTACACTAACACAACTTAAGTTTTCCACAAATTTCAGTTCATCAAACACAGTTACTGGTGTCTATAAATATTCAATTTTATGGCACCAACATAATAAGACAAATTTGAACTCAGTGGAACTCAAAACTTTCCATCCTAAGCTAGTGCTTGAGGTACAATCACATTTTATTAGTGCACTATACCACATTCGTTTCAATTTCATAATTTCAATTAAATTGGTGATTATGTATTTTGGAATATGTGTGCAGAATGGTGAAGTCTTTAACACATTAGGACCACAGTGAGCAGCTTTCCTGACTACCTAAAGCAACTGGCAACACTGCAATGAGAACTTTTTTCTGGCATGTTCTGTTCAAATCCAGTCTTCATCATAAATACACAAAAGACAGAAGTGTATGAGGAGTCCTGCGCCGTAGCCGCGTGGTCTGAGGCATCATGCTTCGGACCGGTGATACGGAATGTGCGCTGGTTCGAGTCTCGGGGAAAGAAATTTCTCATGCGATTTTCAACCTGTGTATGGGACCGGTGCCAACCCAGCATCGTGAGGAAATTGGGGAGCTACAATGGGTAGCGTAATCCGGTCATGAAAACTAGCAATGGCTGGGGGTTCGTCATGCTGACCACACGTCACCCTATATCTGGTTGGATGATCATTCACCTCTGCTTAGGCATGTGAACATGAGGCCAGCAGCCAGCTAGGCGGCTTTGGCTCTCAGAGGGCTTTTACACCACGGATTATTTGTATGAGGAAGTGATACTCTGTAAAAGATTCTCCTTTGTGTACAGGAACCACTTCTCTTAGAATCACAGAACTCAGAAAGGTGCCACAACTTGTCAGCCCTGAAGACGATAAATAATGTCCACGAAGTTTGGTGCTTTAACAGTACACCATCATTGAAAACCTTCATACTTAGTTTACATACATGCCTTCTGAATATCCACAGTATCTTGCTTTACAAACACTAATGTGGGAACTTACATTAGCAAATGTATGTAAAAGCTGTACCCTGCCATCAGGAAGTGTAAGAATAGAAATGCCCATATCTTTCACCATTCTCATGTGATCTGGGTTACCAGCCTGAAAAATGAAAACAACGTATCTCACTAATGAAAATACAATTTCCATAAAAATACAATACGAATAAGAGAATATAATTATAAACCCACAGAAATTAAAGAACTACATTTAATGGTTATCTGTAAATAGTTGATTATAAATACTCAACTGAGGAAAACCATGAAGTTTAATACTGAAACAAGTGGGCCAGGACCACACAAATTCAGCTTTAAATAGAAAAACACTGCACAATGATGAAACAGTAACCTCACTCTATATGAACTTCTATGTACCTGGAACTCTGAAGCATGTAAGTGTCTAAGAGCAGGACTGCGTGGACAAACACCATCCACTAAATTGCGTAGAGGCCTACGGACTGATTCAGGAAATAAATGTAGTGTATTTGGACAAGAACGTGCATATTCCAGGTCTGCTTCGCCCCTTCTTATCTCTTGCTGTTCTGAGATCTGAAAAACCAGTCTTCAGAGCTTCAAATAACTTACAAGCAACTACAAGTAATAACTTAAAAAAACTTAAAAATATCTTAAACACAACTATTATGGAAATGCCACAATTTTCACAACATTTAAATTATTACTAATAAGCCATCTGAGTAAGTGTTTTAACATATGACAAGAAACCATCTGACATAATAATCTTTGCTCTTAAAATAACGTCACTTACCTCATTGGCCTTGAAAATTCCTTTTACTACAGACTTGATAAAGATGAATGATATGAAAGCCTGCAACATCATAAGCTATGTTCCCCAGTTCTGAGCCACCAGGACTAGCAGAAAGTTCAGTCATACAATTTATATTCTAAGCAGATAATTCGATGAGGTAACAAATATTAACCTTTATCAGCCATCACAATTTATGATCGGTCCAGCTGACTATGTCACAGCAGCATACCGCTAAGGCTGGGGCCACATGACTGTACAAAGTACGTCCGTTGTAACGCACATCGTGACGCCCATCATAGAATTATGATTTGTAAGTACAGACAATACTTTTTTTTTCTAAATCTTTTCAAGCTGCCACGGTAATTGGCGCTCGAGTGGTGTCCTCACCTACATCCGTTGCAATGGACATGTTGCCCCAGCCTAAACAGTTAACCCCAGAAGTCCAACTGGCATCTTTTAGTAATGGGGCTTAAAACATTCCCACGTAGTATAAAAGTTAGAAAAATGACATAGCACATTTTAGAGTAGCAAAGGACTACACTAACCAGACAACAAAGTAGACACGTCCAGAATATGAAGAAGAAATGGCCACTACAGTGAAGCATTTAGTGGTCACATTTCAATGAATACTGACTTAAGGCACCTACTCTGGTTCCTTTATTATACTTCTAATTACCATAATTTATTAAAATCATTTCATAAAAATTAATTACGTCCCTTACCGTAACAACTGTATAGTTTGAGTTGCGTGCCAATGACAGCGGAAGCAGATGGGCCTCTGTAGTAAACAGAAATTCATCCAGATCTAGCACAAGGTCTGCAGGATCAGCAAAGAGTAGAAAGAGGTATTTAAAAGTCTCTGCTAGCACAAATGAGTCCATTCTGAAACAAGGAGGCACATACATGCCTAACGACCAGTGGAAAAGTGCTAATTGCTACACCTAAGGCACATCTGATTAAATTTATGAATCTGAAAACAGCCAGAACAAACAAGAAGAAGAAGAAAACTTTTCAAAACCAAATGTATCAGCTATATAAACACACCCACACAACAAATGGTGAAATAAACAAAATGTTAAAAACCTGTAAAATATTTATAACTCTGTAAGCAGCTATTAAGTAATTTCATTACCCCAAAACTGAAATGTGGTTCAAGAAATATTTAGCCTAAAGTAACAGTTTTGTGACAAAACTAGAGTTGAAGGTTCCATGGTATTAACAATTTTGATACAGAAACCACCTAGAAACAGTTCTGATAATGTATGATAGTACAATAGGCAGGATTTGTGATAAACTTTTATTGCATTTAATTTTAAACCTTTGCCAAGTCATTTAAATTCACTGTATTGACCAGCAAATTTAATTGTCAGTCAGTCTACAGCATTACGCACGGCAAAGACTTATGAGACAAATTATGTGAACTTGGCTGTAATGTCTATTCACTGATGAAAATTTCTAATTATACTCATGGACCAATCCAGTTTACCTGTCTTCATGAATGCCTGTGCGCACATCTCTGACAGCTGCATATCCACATGGTACACGTGCATACTTTTGCAGACTTCTCAGTACACTGCGCCCTACTTCCAGATAGTATGGATCACTTGTTGCACGATACAGAAAATAAGTTGATTCCAGGAACTCTGGTCTCAATGGGTGCTGTCCCCAGTGAACCTATCACAAAACCAAACAAAAATGGCTGTTGTAAGGAAATACTGAAGAACAGATGTACAAAGAAATCACCATTTAATGCATCTCTGTCTATTAATTGATCTGACCTTAAATTTAAGACACCTTAAATGGAGGTAACCTAGCACTGAGTAATGGGACAGGACTATGAAAATTGGGATCTTAAATGAGGGAAGGCTTGAAAAAAATTAAAGGAGTATTCCACAATAAATAATTTTTTTGTAGATATACAAATGATGAAAACAAACTTTATGTAAACAACTCTGTATTATTAAGGCAAGCTCTTAAAATATTTCATCTTAATTAAATTAGGTGCATGCATAAATGGATTAGAAACTTAAATATAGGAACTAGGCTGTCACTGAAATGAACTTGACAAATTTAATTTAATTGGATAAGCAAACTTCAAATGTGCAGCCTATCCATACATGTTATTTTGACTTGAAAGAAGCAAAGTGAGAATTTTTATCCCACCAACCTCTATAATAGAAATCACCAAACAGCCAAAACCTTAGATCCCAGGAAGTGCACACCTAAAACCTGGGATGCAGAAATATGGGCATCTACCCTTCAGTAACAGAAAACTGCTCCACCTTACCCATGACATGGTAAACATATGCACATGAATACAACACAAAAGAGATACCTTCACCGAAACTGTTTCACAAGACCTTCATATATGTCAATGTCTGTTGAAACTGTTTTGTCACTTTCAAGTGATGATGCCATGTTTTGGTGAAATGTTTTGACATTTTTAAGAATAACATTTCCATTGTTGATGTGGGACTATACTAAAGAACAGTGGCTTTGCAGACCATTCAGCTCCATCAGTAGCAGGTACTCTTCTTCCTCTTCACTGAAAGTGGTCGATCTGTTTACTTCATCATGTGACTAGGACTTACAATCTGACCATATGAAATGCCAAAAAGTATCCATCAATAGCTATATTGCTCAAAATTACTGCTGATCTTCTACACTACGGTCAGAAGCTCTGATAAGGTTCTGTTGTGACATAAACACCCTCTGCCATGAAGAAGCTTTCCAAAAACACTTATCACAACTGAATTTTCACTGCCCCCACTGACCAGTTACTGCATAAATGAGAACCTGCAACTTAATTTTTCTTGATTTCATTTCTAAAATAAAATACCAAATTAACTGACTCCCAAGCATCAACACACAAAATAAAACTGTGTTGTGCAAAAGTAAAACAAAGTTATCACTGCATCTATGCACAGTGCCAAGAATGAGCTTACAGAATATGACACACAATTACTAATCTCTGCTCTAGTTGCAGGTTAGCAGTTAATTTCTTCTGTATCCACTTTACTCCTATGGAATAAGCCCCTAGTACCCACTGAAAAAGAGTCCAGTAGCACTTTTTAAAATCATTCTTCATTACCTGGAAGTCTGTTGTGAAAGCCTCAGGAATGAAGTTGTGACGCTGCATCACCTGGTACAGCATTTCGTGCGTTTCAACTGCAGGCTTGATGTCTCCCTTTAACACCTAAATCATGGACAAAAAGTACTTCATGTGACATGAAGTTGTCACAGTAATAAAAATGTTGATGATGATTGTCTTAAAGGAGCTTACCAATATATCACCTCTATACTCAGAGTGAAGAGTTTTTTCAATCTATAGACAGGGTCAATATATTCCACTGAAACATTGGTAACCTCATATAAGACCATAGAGCATCACAAGCCAGATCACCATCAACAAGGACTTAATGAGTTACTCATTAAGAATGGATAAAAGCTACGAACATACATACTTTCTTGCAAATCATGTACTTTTTGTAACTTCAACACATAAAGTACAAACCAAAACTCCAGAAAAATAACTTGTAATTCTTTTATATACCAATTATAAAATTAAAAGACCCACTGATTTAATGAAGCAAATGTTTCATCTAAAAACATAATGTATAGGATCCATCACAATGTTCACTCAATTTAATTACAATGAAATTATATTTCAACAAACAAATATTCAAAACCTGTTAGGCAGGACTGTTAACATTTTACAGCACACTGTACAGGGCAAGTCTAAATGATGTTCCCGATTTGAAAGACACACTACTCAAGTTTAATGAAATTCAGATGCACAAAATTGGTACCGATGGAAAGAGAAACTCTCCAAGTTTTTTTTCAGTACATCACAAGTGTTCAATGTGAGCCCCCTTGGTAACACGGCACACATCCAGCCTGTAGTCGAGTTCCTCCCAGACACGTTGCAGCATATCATGATCGATTGCTGCAATGCCTGCTGTGATACGCGCTCGCAGATCAAGCAAGGTCTGTGGTAAGGGTGGCACGAATACTCTATCTTTGACGAACCCCCACAGAAAAAAATCACATGGCGTCAGGTCCGGTGAACGTGGAAATCCAGGACACAAAAGGCTCCCCTGTCTTCGACGGCAGCCATTTTCTATCATATCGCCCCTGGCGGCAAACAGTGTTGCTACGCGGCCGTGAAGTATACCAACATAAACTTGGAGAGTTTCGGGAACATCATTTAGACTAGCCCTGTATTTATAACAGTATTTAAGAACAAGCACAGCAAAATAAACAATGTGTTTTTGCACCTGCAGCCCAGGCCAGAATGCAAGAAGAGCATCCATAAAGTTGCGAGAATTAGTGTGTGGACGGTGCATGTGGACATCTAGCAGCATGGGTCCCTGGCTGATGTACTTCATCACAGCCGAGTAATGCTGCACACAGTCACAACATGTAATGCAGGGATAAAATTTAGCTATAACATCGGAGGTAAGGAAAGTTAAGATTAAGCAACATCAGTTAATAGTATGTAGATAATGTAACTCAAATGTTATAAAACATTTTATTACACTCCTCTGTTAAAACAGTCCTGCAAACTAAGAACTGAAGTTCTCACAGCGATGAGTATGATGATGGCCACCTTCTAGTTTGTAGTGTCCAGTAGTCTGTTAGAAGTTTACCAACATTTCAGAGGTCCTTGTCACCTCCATGATCAGGGTGATGAGATTACGCAGAGGAAGCACAGACAACTGAAATGCTGGTAAAATTCTAAAACTCAACAGCGCTACAACCCAGAAAACAGTCATCTTCACTAGTCCTACAAACAATTCACTGAATTCCAGGTATATTATGATTTCCTCATAAAACTTACAACTGTACTAACAACTCCTGACAACAATTAATTATAAAATTCAACATAAATTATTAAGATATATACCTTCCACTTTATTTACAGTTATTGTATACCACATGATTGTGATTATATTGGCTGCATTTGTTATATAACTGGAGGGTGTACTTCTCCAATTAGTAGAAATACTAATTATTATGCAGAATGTGATGTACCTTATTAAAGCGGCCAAGGTAGCGTTCATCACCAAGCAGAATGTAGGCCTTCAGGCAGTACTCATAATAAGAGTCGATGCCTGCACCCACACCAGAGTCTCTCCGCACCCAGTCACCTGAATGGATGTTGAGAACAGTGCCCATCAGGTCTGAGCTTCGATGTCTGATTTTCCACAGCTCATCCATAGCCCGATGTGCTTTTTCCTGCAAAATCATGCAATACTTTTTCATTTGCCACCACACTCTGACAAACACGCTTCAGGCACCTGCAGCAGCATCTGGAATAAGGTATTGGGGGGGGGGGGGGGGGGGGTGTTCAACATCAAATAATACAACAAAAAATATTTCAGTACATAAAACATAAAAAACAATTAAGCATCTTAAAATCATGACAATGATGTTTGTGATACCATGCAGATTTTCAGACATGCTGAAATTTCCAAAAAAATATAAATTCTTATGCAGATACAAATATTTCTCCAGATGCCACAGCCCAGAACATCATCATCACCTCAAAACTCACATTTTAACCATGTTAGAAATTATCCATTGATTATTTAATAGACACACACCAGATTTCTGGAATTGTTTTGACTCGTATCTTCAGGTTAATGTTAATAAACAGACAGATATTGCTTATTATTTTTTATATTATAACAGCACTCCAGATAAAATCTAGAAGCCTCTGAATCTTTAAAATAACCAGATTTCAGAGCAGTGACATTAGGTTCGAGTAACAGTACACACATGTCCAACAAGATTTCATAATACACTCTTGCACTGCAACTTCATCTCATGAACTGGTCACTAATCACCACTAAAACAAGAACATAATTTACGAATATAATTTGTACCTCAAACACAGATTCACCAGTAAGTCGTGACAACGCTGCCATTTCTAAAATCATGGTCCCTGCACATGCAGTGCATGTTTCACGAGAAGACTCCAATTTTGGACTCTTTAACCCAAACCTCAAGTTGATCTGCAAACATAAAATAATTTTTAATAAGTTTTTTTAATTCATCCATCATTGGGGCACACCTCTGAAATGTCAGTAAACATCTAGCAGACTACACAGACCAACAACCCAGAAGAGAGTCATCTTCATACATTATAATATGAGAACCTAAAATCTCAACAAGATCCTCAGAATTCTCAGCCTCATCCAGGCATAATGTTTCTTTGAGTTCAACTTAATTCATGAACACGTGAAAATTAAAATATCAAGGCTCCTCCAACATATGAGGGATTACAGTTGTCCTAACTGACTTCCAGCTCATTATTCGGTTGCCTAATTATAGAAACTCTGCCTTCAAAATAATTAATTAGCTTTCAAAATGTGATATACTGACCCTGGCATGTGGAATGCCAGTAGAGGTGTTGAATGCGGGCAAGAGACGATATCCCAGATCCCGTGCCATCTGCAACAATTCTCCATGATACCACCTCATGATGCCTGCCCGTTGCTGCAGGTACTCTGTCAGAATATGTCCTGACAGTAGTCCTCTGCAATTCAAAACCACTCATTACAAGACACACTTCTCAAAAGAACGCCAACATTACACGTCATCGACAGATATTAATTCAAACATTGTAAATGCAGTGTCAAGTTCAGCGCATAGGATGAATATGTGGGTGAATCAGCAAAGCTGTTAAGAAAGTATTTATGTTATTAACCACAGCGAAAATTTTACAACATTCTGTCATATTTATTGTAATGAGATGATTTGTGAATTTCATTCTAATCAATATCAGATGATCAAAATGATCAGATATGCAAAAAACATGTCACATTAAATAAGGGTAAAACACTGGAAATGAAATACTTCATACTACTCAAACTTATGATATGGCTTCTAAACCTTACTTTATGAAACAATTCTCTAATCCTGAGAATACAAGAGCAATAATAAAAACTGTTTAATGCAGAAATAGAAGTGAAAAATATGTTCAAAACAAAATTTTCTACCAAAATTTTGTTTTGTTTTCATACAATTTTATTCTTAACTGTGCTTTCTGAAATGTATCCAAGAAGGAACATTACAGTTATAAACAAAAAATGTTTAAACCAGACCACTGACAAAATATATAAAGATCATTTTAATACACTACAAGATAAGGCAGGAACATGAAGACGGAAAAAGACTGCTCAATAAAATGTACCTATGTAGCAAGAATTTGCAATTTCACTCAAAGATACAGAAAATGCACTGTTGATTGCTTTTCCGTTTAAAAGTACCTGCATTAATACAAAAACTACATGTAATGGAAAAATACTTTGGTCCACTGCGATGCCAATACAAACATGTTTTTTATTATATGATATAGCATCCATCATGTACAAAGTGTAAATAAATGAACGTTTATTCATACCCTAGAACTCTGATGTTGGTCTCAAAAACAGAGACAACGACATCATTGTCAAAACTAACGTCCCTCAGCACAAGCTTCACAGCATGCTCGAACTCTTCAAGATCTCCCAACACCTGCACACACAAATCCTGACAGTTATTGGAGGTACTGAGAAAGACCATGAAAACCTCAGTCAGAGCAGCGGATGTGAACCTGGCATTCACAAACTACTAGGATGTGTGTTTGCTTCAACTGGCCTGATTTATTTTATACAGATGATACAATACTGTTAAATAACTCATTACATAAACTATTAAAACCAATATCCCTGGTAGCAGAACTAGAAGTTTAAACACTGCTACCACTTAAGCTTGTTTTAACTTACTGTGAACAGAAAATGCATCAACAAATATTTACCAGTACAAACACTACTACACGGCACATACATACGTCTTTCATTTAACCACAGAAAGTTTTTCAAGTCAATTATGGTCTATTAGGTTAGAAGATGAAGTTCCAGGAACTAAAACGAGAAGCTGAGAACAGGGAAAACTGGAGAGCTCTTTTTGGGCAGAGCAATGTACCTGTCGTCAGACAGAACACTGAATAATAATAGGTTGTGATGCCAGGTCTTGCAGGTGGCTATCTACAAGACTACAAGGTGTCACAACCCAAAAGGCAACTGCCAACATTTTCACTGTGATGATAATCTCATATCTCAGACACAAATTTCTGGATACTCCAAATCCTATTAAAATGTATACAATACTTCTGGTTTGAGTCATAGCAGTCAAGGATATTATTAAAATATGCACAAGTGACATCGAATACAAAATATTTAAATAATATTTGCCAGTTTCTCACTATTCTAACTACAGACTATAAGTTATGTGTTTTTGTCTGCTGGAAGTAGTTCAGATAGAATTAAATTCCTACCTAGAGATTTACAAAATTTCTTGGTAATATGAGTTTCAGGCTCTCTAAATTTCTCATGTGTATGAATGTTTACTAACTCATACAATAATTTCCCTATCTGCAGAATCCATTCAAGTCAACATAAAAGTCACAGCACAAAAATTTTACTTACAACGAGAGTATCCAGTGTATCTATCAGAGTCAGTGAGAAGCTGAAATAAAAAGGAACAATCATAAAGGTCTATATGGTGAAAATATTTAAATTACTATTCTATCATAGCGGTGATATTTAACTTTTTCAATGTTAAGGAATCACACTTGTCCTTTCAACCGTCATTCAACCAACATACAAGTGCAAGACATATGTATATATAGAAAAATAAATACAAAGATAAATTAGAGAAGTCAAACTACTATAATGTTTCCAAGTGTTTTAAATATTACAACAAAAATTAATGAACATTATGAAAATGAATTAACAACTGGCATAAAATGTTAACCATGCATTAAATTTAATACAGATATCTAGTGTTCAAAAATATTTTGTAGAATACCAGTTGAAAACCACTGACTGAAAATACCGTGCTCAAGTATTCTGTATGATAAAATTTTCTAAAACAGACCAACATTTTATTCTTTCAAGCTTGAAATAAACCCCTTTATCAATAAACTTACTTCCCAAGAGTGTCATCTATATCTCCTCGACTAGGTTCTGTACCTCGCCATCGCCCAGTACAACTCAGCGGCATAAGCTCATCAGCAGGATATGCATTCTCCTGTAAAAGATACCAGAATATGCTAACAGCAAGACCTGACAAAACCAAACACAGAAATCGCCTTCCAAATACACAGTGGCCCAAAATGTACCTACCGAGTTTGAACTCAATTTTCTAAACAGAGTACTATAAAGGCAGGAAGAGGCACATATACTGAAGTGAAACAAGCTAGTACAAGATTAGTCCTGCTTAATTACACATAAAACCTGTTAAAGTTTCATAATTTTTAGTTCTTAGAGCCACTGTCATACTCATCACTGTGAGAACCTCAAATCATACTTATGTTACTTTTTAACATATTTCATAGTCTTTAAGGAAATCTGTAAACTTAAGACTGTTGACCTGTTGGGATATGTGATACAAGGATTTTCCTACAGAATGAATAATGATTCTTTAAAGGGTTCATGACAATGGTTGATTCATTCTACAAATATTATGTAACATCTGAAAATAAAATATTAACATTTTGCAACTAACCACAGCTCGTAACAAGCTTATATGGTGAGAACTTAAATTTCATTATATAAGTCATAATATGGAAATCAAAAACCTACCATATAAGCTCTGTAAGCATGATAAAACATATCTCTTGCTTCTTCCCTGTAAGAAAAAAACACCAACATTTCAGTTAGCAGTTGAAACACACAATTACTAAGAGAGAACAGTCCTCAAAATGTTGGGTTTCATAACATAAAAGAAGCAATGTGGAAAGTAAATTTGTTTTGCTGGAGATTTAAATCTAATATTATAGCTTGGAGTCCTCTTAAAACTGGGCTGATCCTGGTTTTCATAGACAGAAAATTCTATAGTTTAAGATCACAAATTCATAATGTATTGACACAAAAGTGTTTCTTTAAATAAAACCTCTGCCTCTTAAACAAAATCAAGCACAAAAAATCATTTCAGAAAATGATTTTAACACCTAAACTGTCACTAAGTACAATTCCATGTTACAGATATGTTGGAAAATGTTTGATACGGTAAATCTACCCTTGTATTTCGTATTCAAATATGAATACATACTCAGGATGTATACTTGACAACAGATAAAGGTGAGTATTTAACTTCAAGCTCTGTCTGCTTTCATCACTGGGAAAACAGCCTTTAATATGTAATGGATTGACGTTGTGATATAAACCTTTCAGATTATATCTAACATATTTAGTGTACTTGGACTCTGTACTAGCTGAAATTATGTATAGAAACTGACCGCTAACAACATAATTATTTTTTTGTTCTTAGCAGCCTTACCGCATAGTTCAATCAATTGAAGGAAAGCAGGAATTCTTCCCAGAACTTCTTGTTTTCTTCTTATTTATATGTAATTTTAAATGAATTATTCTGGTACTTCTAGTGTGAAATGACACTTAAAATTAATAATTTGATATGTTATATCCTGCAGTTCTTCATTGTTATCCTTTTTATGAAATTGTCTGAAGTATGGCTCTGCTCTCTCTTTTTTTATATGCAATAATAACTAGTTTCACCACACAGTTGAACAGAAATCTCAGAGAAGGAACATGAAGATCACTGTAAAACAAAATTATTTCGAAGCACATGGTAAATTCTGGCAACAGAAAGATGGCACACCAATGGGTTCACAAATTTCAAACTTTTTGGCCAAAATATTTTTAATACTCTAGAAAGTACATTCCATCCCAACACCACAAAAAAGTAACACATACATCTCATGACAAAATACGTTGCTATATTAATTATATACAACTCTGCATTAACAACAACAAAATCAGTATCAGAAGATCACAACTCTGCGCGTCTGAAAATAAAACCCGGGATGGAAACAGAAAGTAATCAAAGTAATTTTCTTGTTCTCAATATTTGTAGAAAAACAGATGAAATTATGCTATGAATTTACCATAAGCCACCACAATGATAACACAAAATAGCAGCGTTCAATTATATATTAAACAGGATATACAAAATATCCATAACAACAGCAGGCAAAAAAATTTAACAAATAAATCAAATATCAATAAATAATGATACAATATAAAAGATATCTATACTGTTCGATGGAACAGGGTTAAAAAGTGGCCAGTTTATGTATTTTAATGACAGAATCCTAACCAAGATGGATTTTTAAAAAAACACCTATGTTAAAATAGCATAGAGTTAACAACATTGTACTTACTTCAGTTCCTCCCTTTCCTCACTCGTCACTGCTTGGGCCACATCCCCCAAATGAGCTAAAATTGAGGTCAGGCCAAGGCAAAAACTGAGCAGTATCATTATTGCTAGTATAAGTCCCTTTAATGATAAAGAGAGATTCCCAATTTCGAAGTTGGGACACATCTACTTCTATTATTAACTCTTCGTCAAGAAATATACGGCCTTGTGCTGAATGTAAGATATTCCATGATGCAGTTTGTTTTGTTTTAATTGGGATAATATACGGAAATCCGAAATTATTTCTTGACTTCACATGACGTGTTTCATTTTCGTCCGTTTATACAACATACGGAACATTGTGTTCACTACACAATACCCCTAATCAACATATCAAAAAGTTGTTTTAACACACAAATTATTAGCAACGAATAATTCTGAATGCGTTAAAAACTATACATATAAACATTTCCGGCATTAATCATCGCCATCACACCACTTTCCCCAACCATCACAATTCACACTACAGCAAAATCCGTAGATAACGACAAGACCTCTTTAATCGCTGTATAATCCATGGTTTGAGCCGACGTAACCATGGCCAGCTCTAATTACTCATAGTTCACATCGTACTCTTTGATACTAAAAACAATTCGTATCTTATATTTCTTGAAATTTGCGCAGGTTACGGACCAATACGATGAGGGATGATGTGTGTTATGCAGTGAACATATGTGAGCCGTGGAGGTTGGGTTTTGAGTGTGAAGTAGGAGCAGTGTCCGAAAATAATTTTATAATGAAAATCAGTTTTGATGTAAAATTCTCTAGAGAATCTCAGTTTCAGCATCAGCGATATTGTCGTGTTCTTAAAAATGCCGTTTAATTGAGGAAACTGTGCTGCTAATATGTCAAGCCCAGAAATTTTGTCTGAAGTAAAAGCTGGAGAGGATCTGTTAAACAACACATTTCTGACTGGAGGTCCGGGGATGGGGTTAAATTTAAGAGTCCATAGAGTGTTGCACATTGTTGCTGGGATCGTAATGAGGTGTTGGGCTCTAGCAGGTGCAGCAGTTCTTGCTTGTTTACTACTTTACTGGGCTTACGGTGGTATTTTGGCATTTCTGCTGCTTTGTTTTGCCACGACAGGTGAGCCTTGGATTAATAAAAACACTTTCAAAATCTTTAATAAATGTATGAACATCCGTCCTGTTTATTTATCTTGTGATTGCAGGTATTTTATATCATACAGAGGACAACCTTCTTTACCACCCTGAAATGCCAGCACATTCAAGAGTCTTTGTTCCAGTCCCTTCATTGTTTGGGCTCCCGTATGAAAATGTTTTTGTTCGAAGTGCAGATGGAACATTACTTCATCTTTTTTTCATTCGCCAACCAGGTGACCAGGCAGCTGAAGCACCAACAATTCTTTACTTGCATGGCAATGCTGGGAATATGGGTCACAGGTATTAAATTTAATACTGTCAATACACGATAATGTATAGAAGCATTTTGACAACGTAGAGTGATGTGTCCTACCTTCTGATGCCCTAGTAATAAAGTCGTGGCTTTCTTGTAAGAAAATCATGTCTGATTTACATCATTATAATACAATATTTATTTTTTTCCAAATATATTAGTACTCAGCACTGAAGCAGAATCATCTTTATATATTTTACAACAAATACATATTCTGGCATATTCTTACATGACTTCTGCTATTAACTGTGTTTTGAGTTAGGCAAGGAAGTAGTAATACCAAGATGTTTTGTGATTGCAGGTTGCAAAATGTCCTTGGCTTTTATCAGTATCTTCAGTGCAATATTCTTATGTTGGAGTACCGTGGTTATGGACTGTCGCAAGGTTCACCTAGTGAAGAAGGCCTCTATATGGATGCAAGGACAGCTTTAGACTTTCTGTCTTTGAGACATGATGTAAATCATAAGGAAATTATTGTTTTTGGAAGATCTCTGGGTAAAGTTGTGCAGATAATTCTATTACACATTTAATGGCACTGAAAATTGAGTCTATCGGATGCTAATTATATTACTGCTTTCTAGGTGGTGCTGTTGCAATTGATGTGGCAGCTCGGCCGGAGTATGCTTCAAGAATTTGGTGTCTCATTTTAGAGAATACGTTCACTAGTATTCCTGATATGGCAAAAGTGTTGATTGGTTGGCGAGTTTTGCAGTATTTGCCTCTTTGTTTCTACAAGAACAAGGTACTGGTAATGTTGTGCACAACTTTTTATGAATCCTTTCCATTCTTATTATCAAAGTTCAATGTAATTTTATTTGTAACAGTTTTTGTCAGTGTGGAAGATGGCACACCTGGCTGTACCTACAGTGTTTGTGTCCGGCCTGGCCGACACATTGGTGCCCCCACGCATGATGGTAGAGTTACACCAGCGATGCGGCAGCCATCATAAACAGCTGGTGCAGTTTGATTCAGGAACACACAACGAAACATGGACTAACCCAGGTTATTACCAGTCACTAGCTACCTTTCTTCAAGATGCACGTATTAGACATACAATACCTCCTTCCACACTTGCACTGAAACCCATGTGACAGGCTGTCTCCTGGTAGACTTCACATGCAAAAGATTACATCTTCTCTGGTATTATTTTACTTTCATAGACATCCGAGTTCAGAGGTGTACATGCAATAGTTACGAACAATATAGTGATCTGAAATTCCTCTATTGGTTAAAAGTGAATATATCCTTGGTATAAGTTAAAAGCAGCATAAGAATTCAGCATCAGTATCACTAATTTGGAATCTCTGCCATGTGAGGTTGAAGGCTTCTGTAAACACTTCAAGATATTACATCATATTGACTGGAGTGATCGTTCAACATTTTTTAATTTTATGCAAGAAAACTTGGTAATACACTAAGCTAGTCAGTCAGAGCTCCAGGAAACTCGTCTTTAATGTGATTATGTCATTTCTTGATGTTCCTGATTGCACTGAACACATAAGGCTGAAATGTAAAACCAGTCATTTTCAGTGGTTGTGAAATCAGATGTCCATAATACATTTAAAATATTCAGCACCCAATTCTGTCCAACTGTACTACAATAATTAAATATTACAAAATGAAATCCATCCTATGAAACTTTAGTTTAAAATATGTAGCAGTGGTTTTGCTGTCATGTTTGCTGTTGATCTCATAAAATCCTATTTCAGTAAAATAAGAAAACATATCTACCAGTTGATTTGACATGGATAAAACTGGCATATCAATCAAAACATTCCGGCCATGTTTCAGAATTGTTAATGGTGTACGAACTCTGGAAGAATTGATGTATATGTTGCTTTTTATATAAGCACTGCATTATGTAATGGAAAAATATTTTTAGCTACTTTTTAGCTGATCCTTTGCTTAAATATTAATGTAGTGCATGAAAAATTAGCTCTGTTGTTGGTAAGGATGAAGCAGTGATTGGCGTTTCTTGAAATACTGCTTTCATTTCTGGTGACTAAAATTACATATTCTGGGTTTGCAGAGTAATGAATGAATGATACAGATTATTTTGGGAGAGTTTTTTAAAGCTAAATGTTAATCAGTGTTTCAAAGTGATATAATGAAATGACTATGTGAATAAGCAAGCAAAAAAAAAAGTCTTATTGTTGATGACTTGATTCAATTTGATTGCAGCTTTAAAAATGTAGACAATACTCATTATTCCATTGTGCCTCTTGGAATTTGCACCAAAATATAAATTCTGCATTACATGAATACTGGTATTGTATCAGACATTATTCATTGTCTAAAGTAAATTTGATATACATGCTTTGGGAGTAGATTCTACTCCCATCTTCAGGTGGTGTTTTTTTTTTTCAGACATACATGTCACTTTCCCTATATAAGTGGCAACAGTTGGGATAAAGCCTTGAACATTAAGAATATTAGGTTAGTACGTAAATCACTACAGAGCTGTAATAGCAAATATACAATACCTCAGACAACAGACAATGTCCACGTAAAATAAGTTCATGTAATGGATAGAACATTATCATGTACGTTTTAGAGAATTATAACTTCTGTACATTTTCAGCCTAGTTGTGGAAAAATCCACATATTTATTACAAATTATAATTTCTTAATGTGCTTTGCTCACTGGTTGATTATTTCTTGATTGTAATAGCTCAAAAACCATTGTTATTTAAGAAGCCAGAATGGTTCCTAAATATATGTGGAATCATGCTCACTTCACACAATTCAATAAATGTCTGCTGCTACAGAAATGTATTTCTTTCTGTGTGTGTGTGCTGGTGATATGTTTACCTTGAGATCTTTCTTAGTCCTGGTATGCTTCTATAGTACCTTCATATATTTCAATAGGTCATAGACTTTTTCCTGCCCAGCTTTTATCAACTCTAATTGATATGGCCTGCCATACTAATTCACAGAACAAAGATATCTTGTTAATATTTGCTCAGATGGTCAATAATTCTCTGCTTTAAAAGTTTATTACCATGTTCAAGAGCCCACAGTATCCCCTATCCTGAAACAAATCCAATAAACATCCTCATAATGGAAGCAGCAAGGAACTCTGAAACACTTGTAAACTTCTACTAGAGTACACAGTACAACAACCCAGAAGACAACCATTTTCACCCTCATACATTATTTCTTTACAGTCCATCTAAATATTAGATTCCCATTATGCCTAGGTCTTCAGAGTGATCTTTCACCTTCAGGTTTTCCAACCAGTATTTTGTATGATTTATTACTTGTTCGATATGTGCCCCATGCGTAACTCCTTCTATTACAACTGTATCAAGAATATTAGAGATTTTACTGCCCATCATACAATTAAGAACAAAACAATTATTCAAAATCCAATCTACACTGTACTATATTTGTTTAGATTCATTGTACAAACATTCATACAGAAAAGTACACATTTAAGAGGGAACACATTTCTACCTGTACAAAATGCCTCATATACAGAAGGAAAATAAATCAATCTAATGGACAATTACAGTGAAATACAAATATACTGGCAGTATTTCACCACAAAACTTAAAACTGTAATTTAAAATTCATGAAAGTATAAAAACATATTTTGTATCTTTCTTCCTCCTGATATCATTTTTCATTGAACTGTGTTCCATCTACAATCTGCCAGAAATCTCTTATATACCTCTGGAATTTAAAACTCCCTTTCTAATATATTGAGCCATGATACAGAATCTAAATTACAGCTATATAAAGTTCATTGCCATGGAAACTAGGAACAAAACCTTTCACTGCGCCTATAATAAATTTGCATGTTTTATACAGCATGTAGAAAAGACCAATAGAAAAACAAAATCTATATACAGATATTTGATGACATCATCTGTACTGTGCATACAATTCATACCAATACCCATTCACAAATCTAGTAGAGTTGATATGATACAACAGTCTTAAAAACTGGTATATGCACAAAAATTAAAATAAATATAAATTTAAATATAGTTACATGGCTAACTAAAGTATACAGAAACAAATCACTGAGTGAAGAGATACAAATTGCATCAGGATTTTTCCTTATTGTCTGTTCCATAACAGTTATCCTTACTCTAGTAATTCTTGCTAAATTTATATCAGTACTCCTTTGACATAAGTCTCCATCAAGTGTCAACTTTGCTACTTTCCTACAAAAAGAGTAGATATGGCTGAATGTGTGGATGATCTCCAGCTATAAAACTCTATGCCAAACCTTGACCACTTTTGTGTACTGTTCTGGATGTGAAGCAGTAATCGATACTGACTAGACTAAAATTCTGAAACAAGAATTGGCTTGGTAATGGTGAAGTGAAGGTCACATGTAACCCAAAATAGCAGACTAATACAGTGTAATAATACCAACAGTTTCAGTTTTCTTAAATGAGACAAAAGCTGAAGGAACTTGTATGGATCTAGTCATGTTGCCAATGATTGGAAATTATAACTAAAAATAACAAGACATTGAAATTCCCACTAAAATACACAATTTCATTGAGACAGAAGTGAAAACAGTAAATCAGGAAACCATAATAACTAGTTACATAATGAATTTTATAATTTCTAGGATTTTAGGTTTAATTTTATAACTTCTCAAAATAAAAGGATAGCATACTTTTGAGTTCCAAATGTCTACTGTTGCCACAAGACGTATTTTAAAGAATTTAAATTAGGACTCTTTGTTTATATTACGTACCATCAATAACTGATGATAAACTTTTGTAAGAAGCTGTCTCCCACACATGGGATGCCAGCAAAGCAGTTCATATTACTCGATGACAAATTGCAAAATTATATCCTCATTCTGAATATTATAATCACAAGTTAAGAATAGTTTTTTTCTTTCTTTCTGATTCACAAGCTAGTGATGAAGAGCTGTAGGATGAATAAAATACTAATTTAAACCCATTCTGAGGCATACTGTCTCTTCAGTTGGCATTCACCTCACCATTAAATGGAAAATGAAATTAGAAACAGTTGGTACAGTGGTCCTTCATGTCCAATAGATACTCTGTTTAAATCCTGACCTGGCATCAGCAATCCAGAAGTTTCCCATAGTCAGTCCGAATAAATAAATATGAGGGCAGTGCCCGTACCGTCAAAACTGGTCATGACAGATTTATCTATTAGTCCTCTGAAGATCAGCTTTCATTATCATTCAGCATTACAAAATCTAGACTGTTGATAGTTCATAAAATCAAATAAAAAAAGTGACAGTTTAGTTGATAATCTTTCTGATAACTGCTTCAATTCACAATTTACATATGATGTTATTGACAACCAACTTCTACAGCTCACTGCTGAATACATGAATTAAAGTATTTTGTTTGACAAAATAATCGACTCCAAATTTACCACACTCATCTTCAAGTGTATGATTTCATGGGATCATTCACAATAGGTATACACAGTATGTCCCACAAACCCACCAGGATTAGAAAGGAAAAATTCTGATCATCTTCATTAACAGTATTTCAGATATAACAAAAATATATACTTTAAGTGTAGCCAGCATAGGTAATACTATTATGAATGTAAATATTATGACAGGACCTTACATAACAGGAAATAAGGAAACAGCAAAAGTAGAGTTAATTGAAAATCATGTCTTACCAGGTACTCACACTTACATTCACATATGGACAAGCAGCAAAAACATCTGTCAATGTACAGTACTAAACAGAGTGAAAGGCAACAGAAGAGAACTGTCAAGCTGTCTATGGTGGATGTTCACGAAGTTGCACATTCTTTGTCTACCACAGCAATGGAGGGAAACAAAGTTAGGCAATTCAATGTAATTCAGTACTTGATGTTGAGTTCGTTGTTCTTTAGGAAGAATTTGTAACAAAAGAAGGTCTTCAAAATGGAGCTGCTGATGAAGTAGGCAAAATAGCAAAGCAAAAATTTTTAAGAAGTACACATGCTCAGACATGAGTTGGTTAGTTGTTCAAAATCTTTGGATTTATAAAATACCTCTGTCTAAACATGTTGTATTTCACACTCATAATATCCTATGGATTATACAATATAAAGACTAGCATAAACAATGTTTTTTGTTTAGTATTCTTGAAAAGTATCAGGCAATAATCATACTCAACGCATCTTATAATGTTAAAAGAGTATTATGCCTCAAGTACTATTCTTGCATGCTTGACCCTCGTAGGTCACTAATGATAAAACTCTTTTTTGTCTCAGTCTGGAGCCAACAAATGCACTATTACACATGTTCATACTTAACACGAATGCTGATAACATTCTACTCTTACAATACTGGTCCCTAATTACACTCACACCAGAAACTCATTAAAATGCATGCAGCAGTTTACCAACACAACACCGAGTTCTGAGTACATCACATTTCAACAAACAGCCTACCTTGAAGCAGTTAAATCAACACACACAGTATCACAGGTAAATTGGGGAATGAGACATTCAAATAATATAAAACTGAAATATCTAGTACCTGTTTTATTCCTTAGGCTTAAGTCTGGGCTTGGTATGAGAATGTTTCTGCTTAGATTCAATCCCTGCACGATCTTCCTAAAACAACTAACTGATATCATCATTCCCTTTGCTTTTCACTAGAGGCCAGAACCATTTTATAAGACACTGCAAATTGGTTGCCACTTAATTTTCAAACAGCCACTGATCAATTCATAGTCTTCATTTAGGTAGCATAGATCATGTACAATGACTTAAGGAATAGCTCTTTTAACAGAAATTTGAGAACATAATCCACAGTGAACAAAGTTTCTGAAGAAACCTACCCTGATGGCTTGCACGCATAGAATCACTAACATCACAGCTGTGCAAAGATTCAACATTCTTGCACTTTGCAAGAGAATTGCAGTTTATCTCACTGTACACATTATCCTAGTATATATTTATATATATCTGTATATATTTCTTACTGCTTCTGTACAATTAACTTTGTTACACTGGTGTGTGATGCAAGCTGTACAAGAAATTGCTCAACAAAAGCTCTACTGAACACAATACAGAATATCCTGTTAATCCAAAAATCATTAAATAAAAAATTGCATTTCAGTAAATATTGCCATAAAAGTGGAATGTGCCTAACATTTTAAAATTGGAACATAATGGCTGTTAATCAAAAAAAGAGAGGAAAATGGAAAGGCAAACTTGTCCCTGTGTTTAATTAATCACCATGCCAATAAGACATATAGGGCAGTGGAATCATATCTCCATACAATCTGAACCTCAGCAACAGATGGATGTCAATAATTAGCTTCATATCCCAGCCACTGTTCTTCTGCACAAAAAAGCCCCTTGGATTGGATAAGAGGCTGGGGAGAACCCAGACCTGGTCTGGACACAGTAGTGAGAAGAATCCCTGCCGCAGCCAGTAATTGCAAAGCTGGGCATGCATTTGTAAAGGAAATATTGAAGAAAAAGTCAAAGCAATTATTTAGGCATATGAATTATGATTACACTGAGGGTTTGTTCTCAATATAAGCATGTTCCACAAATATCTTCATTGTCCACAAGCTCAAAATTGAACACATTTATGATGTACTGATTCTGTTCTCATTCAATAAACATTTGTAACAGTATCATCAATTTAGAGGCAATAGTGTGCACTTGCACAAGTCCATTACACAATGAAATGCTACACAAATTTTCCAATGAATGAGAAAATTAAAATGCTTAAATAAATATAACATATTAAAAATTGATCCAAATGAGATAATTTTGTTAAAATGCTGTTTCTAAATGAGAAATTTACTCTCACTCAAATTACTAGTATGAAACAACATGGATTAACAAGGGTACACTGTACAGGGCTGAGTCACCTGATCTACCTCTGTACTGCGTTGATCACATCCCTCACAGTGTTCTGCACTTCGGCACAAAGTCGTGTATTATCTGTTGAATTACGTGCACCAGCTGAACGAAGTTGGCGTGCTTGGCTCTCAAGCCGAGTCAATAACTCAAGAAAGTGGAAGCGTGCATGAGGAACAATGCTGTCAGCATATCCTACACAAGATGAGTGGAACAAACCGACTTTATCAGACAGCTGAAGCCAACTACCTGCTGACACAGCAGATGCTGACCTCAGAGAGGTTAAGCTAGTCTCTAGAGCCTGGGATATCTCCAGTACACTTTCTCTCTCCCCGCCACCTACCCGACTTGCCGGTGCTACAGATCCTTCCTCTTCTGTTGCAACTTTGGTCTCACGAGCCATAGAAGGCGGTTTTGGTAATGTGGGAGTAGCATAAATAGCTGCCGAACCAGCAGGAAGCTTTGATGCCGATAGTACAGGTTTTGTGGCTTTCACAGGTGGTTTTGTAGGAACCACAGGCTTCTCATCTGATGGAACAGGAGGTGGGGGCCATACCCTTGAACCCCCTTGTCCCTTATTCACTAGCTTCCCATCATCTGGCGATGACCCTTGTTCCTTTACTCCTTCATCACCTTTCACTTTGTCTTCCTCTTCAGCAGTGCTGGCAGTGTCTCTGACCTTACCAGGAACCTTGAGAGCCAGTTTAGGACTCACTTGTCCAGCTGAACCTGAGCAAGGTGGGATGTCTCCTGATGTCTCTTTGCTTTCCCAAAGCTTCTTAAGGCTACTGATACTTCCTGTACTGCGTCGCTTGTCATCACCCTCTTCAACCTTTAACTGCGTCCCACCTCCTGTTCCACCATCCAGGCTGTGAGCGCTTACGGTGCTGTCCCTTTTCTTTGATATATCTTCCTCCTGCTGATGGTCTCCGTCTACACTCACACTGTTCCGCCGCCTTTCCTCTTCTCCTCGCCTATCATCTTCATCTTCTCTCCCTCCCTCACTCCTTTTTCCTAATGTCACTACTTTGTCCCCACTGCTTTCCACTTTCCTCAACCTGGATTTGAAATCAATAATAGATCCTGCATGGTCCTCACTCTCATCCTTTGCTCCAGCCCATTTTGATGCTGGCTCAAACTTCTTTAACTGTGCTTTGAAGCCTCCCAAGGTAACCCCATCTTGTCTACCTTGCCCAATACCTTCTGGTTTAACTCCTTCAGATCCTCGACTTACTCTCCGGAGATTAGCCTTATAGTCCACTGGGGAAGTTGGACCCTTATTAGGATCTGAAGAACTATTGTTCGGAGGAGTATCAGGTGTTGTATCTTTCAGATCTTTCTTAGATGAATCAGAATACTGAAACCCCTCAGACAGTTCTGATACCAGTTGAACAGCTGGATCCAAGGAAGAGACTGAGCCTGCTGTTCCTGTTGCATCACTTACAGGGGACTCCTTTATTCCTGCTCGACCAAATTTCAGATCTGCCCTTTCTTTAATCTCTGCAACAAGCTTCAATTCCAGCAACTCCTTCATGCCAGGAAGAGCACTTTTTGGCACCTTGTTATTCACCATCTTCTTCTCTATTTGTTCCTCAGATGAAGGGCCAGCAGTCTTATTACCTACTGTGTTCTGTTGTTGTGAGGTACTGGACTCTGCAAGAGGTTCACTAGGAGAGTACATGGTAGGGACAAGATCACTACCAGGTGACATAGGGCTTTTGGTCTCCAGGCTCGGTGAAGTCAAGCTACGACTGGAACGTGGTGGGCTCGGAGGTCTGTCACGTGGTCTGCTTTTTGAACTGCGTCTACCACCACCCTGAAGCTGCACTGCTGAGTCATCATGATCACCGCCAGACTTGGCACTGCTGCATGAATCTGTTGAAGGTTCTCGATGGCGAAGACTCACTCCAAATCGTGAGCTTGCTTCTTCTACTGATGGTTCTGTGTTTCGTACATCAGCCGTACGAGAGGAGCCTGGGCTGTCTTTGTCTGGGTCACTTTGCTGTTCCACCATCAGCACTTGTTCAGGTTCAGCATCACCCTGGGCCTGCCAGCGAGGAGAAGGCTGATCAAGGCTTGAGCTATGCCCGAACTTTCTCAAACTACGAGGAGACGTCACAAGTCCTGAAGGTTTGTTTCCACTAGGTCCTGTCCACAAGCGTCTTCTCTCAGGGCTAGGGGATGCAGTAATGAGTGGTGGGGGTGGTTCTGGAGTCAGAGGAGGACCATCATTCAAGCTGTCAAACTCTTCAGGGGGTGGGGGAAGATCAGCAGGTGGTGGTGGAAACTCCAGATCAGCAAGGCTAGGCTGCAGGACACGTGAAGGACTTCCACCACGAAAAGATGAAGTGTTGGGAGCAGCTCGGAATGTTCGCAGACTGCCACATATTTCCACACCATGATTTCTAACACCTGTGCGTGGACGATGCAGTTTCCCAGCAGTCGGTGAAGATGGGGCTGGCGGATGGTGGTGAAAACCTCCTACCACACCACCAGATGAATTACTACGAATCATTTGTGGCTGAGTGCGGATGTTGGTCCGCGGGGACACTGATCGATGAGGAGCCAGGTCCGACACTCCCACCGGTTCTTCGATGCAGTCTTCCTCTCCTCCATGAAACACTGTTCCTTCCATTTCCTGTCCAGAAGTCAGCCCACTTGCCCTTAATGACTCCAAGTATGCTCCAATACGAGCTCCTTTGGGCAGTGTGCCATAACGGTTAATGGCCCGTTTCACATTTTGCACCTCCAGTGCTGCAACCTGAACCACCTGCAACAAGGCCAGAAATAAGAAGGCTCATAAAAAACAGAATCTATAAGCTAAGTACTATAAGACTACATTCAGGTGCTTCCTAGAAAGCAGATTAATCATGACGACATTTGGGAACTGTTGTGAATGAAAACACCACCAGTGACTACAGCAATTAAAACTGTGTGCGCGCGCGCGCGTGCGTGCACTCTTCTTCCTTTTTGTGAACTCAAACTTGCTAGAAAATCTCCTGAACATGTAAGATGCTAATTAAAAGTGGTGGAGTCAGGAGCCAATAACAACTGCTGCCTCGTTACAGGTCAGCGGCAAACAGGTTATGCTTTCGTAAACCTGAATGGTACATACAGACAATAGAAGGTCCAATAAAACATTTTTCAACTCAATCCAACACGTGAAGGTGTTTCTGAATATATTTAATGGTCACAATCTAATTTAACTGCGATATCACTACTGAAAATAGAGAAATCTACAGACAACAAGAAAGTGGAGCAACAGATGTTTTGTTGAATGGTCCATAATAGAAGTGGTCTCTGTCAGAGTAGTTCTTTGAAATCTCCTTTATCACAGTGATAACACAGCATCAGGCTGCAGAGGTTTCCTGAAATTTTGGAGAACCCATCTCCATTATAAAGATGAAGCAACTCAGTAACAGCTTCAAACTGATAATATTTATAGTTCCATACCATGATACTCTGGAAAATTCTGTATTCTAAATGGCGGGCATTTGGCAGATTGGAACTTAGGTTTATTTTAAGGGAAGCAGCCCAGGTACCTGAACTACAATCCACTTCTACATTCCTTACACATCCACAAGTGTGCTGAACAGTCACTTTGCATTGATAATGAAGACAGCCAAGTTATCTAAGATGTATAAAAACCAGCATACCACGCAAGGTGGCATCACTACAATGTGAAGAAAAATTAAAGTAACAGTTAAAGCCAATATTTATAAAAAGGTGGACTGAATTATTGAATTACTGGCAGTGTTAACTTATTCAAGGAAACTAATACACTAAAGCTATAACAAGAAAACTCAGGTGAGTTATGATTGTGTTATGATACTCATGAATACCTTTGTAAACAAGGATGTCAATGTAAAGTAAGTATGAAAGGATGTTGAATGACTATAGAGAAAATATGCTTTCTCAATGACTTCAATCCACTTTACCTTCTGTGTAGATGCTGTGTCCTTGGGAGGATAGGTTCGTGACTTTTTTCCACGCTGTTCAAGACCACGATTCCCCATGATTGGTACACGTTTGAAGGAGCTGGTTGCACCCGGTGGAAAGAATGTGCCAGTCGGTGCCTCAGAATATGAGTGAGCCCCAGAATCATCAGTGTCAGGAGTTTGATCCTGCAGATCACTCTCACTGTCACCTTTGTTACTAACTGTCAAACTCTGAAGGTCTCTTGTAATGCCTGAAAAAGCACAACTGCTATGCAAATTAAATTGTTTAATACACCACTGAGTTGCAGTACACCTAACACTTGAACTATCAACTGAAAAGCAACAAAATGCATTCTTATGTTGGAAAATAATATATGAAAAATATTTACATTTAGTCCAAAGTGGTTATTTGTCCAACTATTTCTGCACTTGCATTTCCATCTGATCCTTCATAGCCTTGTAGGATCTTATTTCAAAATAAATATTTTGATACAAATGAGATTTCTATGACTAAGATTAGATTACCAACAAAATACAAACTTTTTAGGTTTGTCTCTAACTGAATAATATCAGAATCAAGAAGTTGTATTGTTTGAAATAATGGAAAATCTGGGCAGCCAGGTTACATGAAACTCCAACATGAACTCTGAAAATATCTCATCACATACATAACAGAATTTTAATTAAAAATTTAATGCCCAAAACTTCTAAATTAAATACCAGCCCTAAATTATTAGAACATATTACTAATCACAACTACCACTTTGACTTAACAAGACCAAAATTAATTTTCAAACAACATCCAGTTTCCATGTTAAATGTATCTAAAACATTTCGAACAAACTTCACACAGTTCTAGGAGGAACACGTTGAACTGTATACATCACTTCAATATGACAAGCCATTCCTTTACAGAAACTGACCAGGCAATTATGATTTCAATTAACTTACTAATAAGGTGAAAGAACGCTGGCAAAGCAACCGGAACTCTGTAATTCCTTAGGGGCACAGAAAACTTCTATCTGGTAACTAAGCAATTTGAAAAAAAACTAATACATGTCATCTAGCAGTCATAAATTTGATTACTACTGTAAACACATTCACTGCCGGGCATTTAAAAGCAGAGGCTTTATTTGAATAGACAAGTAAACACAAAAGCAAAATACAATGGAGCACAGAAAACTCACATCTAAAATACAAGATTGGTTAATTCTGAGAAATATGAAAGGACACCATATTCATTTTTGAGGCAGATGAAATACAGAGGAAAATTATAAGAATGTTTCCAATAGGATTCTGCATCTGTGTTTCTTAACACCAAGTATTTTGTGCAAACCTTGAACTATGTAGTGGAAACGTTATAAGCCATGGTTTATGACAACACTGTTCTCCAGTCATTACATTGTGTGAGCATCTCTTGTGGCAATATTTAAAAGATAAAGTATATCAAACATATCCATACAGACCAACTCAAAAGGAAATATTTATCTGGGCACGCATATGTCCTAAAAATTTTCATGTGAACCAAAATTGTTTAGATAAAGGGAATACATCTGAGAAAATGTTTTTATCACACTGTTACATGAATAATAAGTAAACTTAACTATGATGCTGATTAATCTCACAATGACCACAGATAAATAACTAAACAACACATCAATCATGAGCAGGAAAAAGGCTATGCATCTGGCACCAAACAGTATCCATGTACAAAGTAAATGAAGCAATTCAGCTTTCTATACTTTGGTGTGAAAAACACCATGTGGAGACCATACTGCAGTCAATGCTACTTCCATTTCACAACTAAACTTACTCATGCATTCTCATTTTTAATAGTTTTCTACATAGTGCAGTAATCTATAGTATACTTCAATCTGTCACCTCCATGCAGAATAATGCACAATTCAATGCATCAATCTCAGAAATAGCTTTTGTAAATGTTAATGTTGACAGCTTCTGTAAATTCTAAACCACAGGTAAAGAATTTATTGGAGACAATGATTGTCTGGCAATCATGCAATAACAAAAGCTGAAGACGGACATCTACGCAGGCAGCAAACAAGGAAAACACCAACCAGAGATAGGAAGCGGGTTGGATACCTTCAAATATCTTATCAATACCATTTAAGTCCGAGGAGTCATCTTGGTTTTCTGTGTGGCCAAGTGGGTCATGGTCTGCGCAGGTGCTTTCACGGAATGAACTGCAAGATGAAAGCAGACTACACGAGGTCAATGTACCTGTCACAGTCTGCTCAAGACTACAACATAAACACAAGTTCTGTAATTTATCCTTACATAAACAAGTAAAAGAAGCACAGTATGTTTGAAACTGCATTCACATTATAGCTGTCAGATACGTACTTCATATTTTATTTTCTGAAGAAGTCAATTTTCTGACTTAAATAAATGTCACAACAGCCACTGAAATTACTTAGCAAGACCTCTCAGTTTATTCAATTATGTTTTATCAACTGCAGAGGTCATACAGCAATGAATGTAAGAAAGAATGGATGAATAATGATGTGTAAAGGACATCAAAGCAGTTATAGCCTATATGAAGATAAAATCCTGACATTCACATGGGGAGACTGACAAAGACCACATAAACCTAAATCAGGACACACAAGTCTCCAGGCCTAGAACTGAACATAGGGCTTATAAAATATGAAGGACGAGTGCTCATCACTTGACGATGACAGCTGGTTTAAAATTCTGTATTCAAATATGAAAACAAAAGGCAACAAAACAGATCTTACACACACAAAATTAGTACTTTAGCCCATTCAACACAGTCAAATCAGGAGAGAAAGTGAAATGACTCAACATAAGTACTTCATTACTCGGAATACCAGACCAAGTGGGAGACAACTTGAGAGCAAAAGACTAAATCATTATCTACTTCACCCCTCCATGGTAACCAACCATAGCATTTACCCAATAAGTTATATTCTTAATCATTCAATTTTGGTTACTACGAGAGAACTCTTTGCATTTTAGTGAGGAAAAATATGTCAAGCGATAAGATAATTATTCAAAAACCATACACACTGATGATTTGATAACAGCCTTCAATGTAAGCAACATGTCTGACTGGCATACTGTAGAAGAAAACTTTAAAACATTACTTTCAGTCTTATAATTACATGATAACAGTCACTGCTTGTATAACATCATAATCAGCTGATTACTTCCTAGTTCTAATAAAAAAGCTCGGACTCTCAATTGATTAACTGCCAACACTCGCAACCTAATTGGAGTCACTCTTCTGCACTGATTGGACTAAGCTGAACTGACCGAAAGACCTGTCTTCAGTATGTAATACCTACACCGACAGACTGCACAAGGTTCTTTTTTTTAACAATATAATTTAAATCAGTTCACTGCATAGAATCACTCATTTGACTTAATTCATTTGTGATTCCCAAAGGCCAGGGTGGGCACAAAATCCCTTTGATATTCAATACATCCATTCAAAATAACAAACCATCTCTACAAGACTTATTTCAAAAGATGCGAATTAAATGATCTGCAGAGAAATCCTACCTGGTACGTTTTGGTGGGGCAGGTGCCTGCTTTCCTTTCCTGTTAGTGGGCCGTCGCATTTGCACCAAGCTACTTTTAGTAGTGCTAAGTACTGGGCCACCAGTGAATGTACTAAGTTTGCTCACTGCACCATCTGATAAGCAAGATGTAAATCACTTAATATTAAATACGCAAGACAAATTTTTGTTTCACCACCAATAACAAATAGTACACATAAATTTATTATGATTTCTTGACATTCTTATGACATGTGGGGGGGGGGGTGCATTTTTAAGAATGTGACGCTTTCCTAAATTTTGCTTCAGTGCCATTAGAATTAAGAACTTATTTGAAGATGGCTATCTTCTGGGTTGCAGTGGTGGTACAAATTTGCCAATGTTCCAAAGGTCCATGTTGAATCCATCATCAGGGCAATGAGTCAAATTCCTGATGATGGATTTAGCAAGGTCCTCTGAAACTTTGGCATACTTCTACTACATTACGCAATGCTACAACCCACAAGACAGCCATCTTCATACTCAATGCCACGAGAACCTTAAATCCAACCTATTTAAACCCAAACAAAGTGTATTAATTTACATACAGTGAATGCTCACCCCCAATCATTCCAGTGACTGCCACCTGTTCTGACATCACCACTAACCCATGAATGTTCCCTGTGCTGCCTGCATGAGGCTTCTTGTAGGCCAACTGAGGAGTCCCACTTTCCTGAAGCTGTTTCTCTACCTCTGTAACATGTACAATTATAACATACCAGTTCTCTATTCATACATACTCCATGCTATTCATTCACTCACTACCATAATTTCCACTTCATAACACATTTTCAGCCCACAGTTCAACTATTTAAATATATACACACCCACAAGACTCCAAACACCAACAACCCACATCCTGATGTAAAGCATGTGCTTTTGATAAAACAATAAATATAAAATATTACATTACAGCAACTACGCAATGATGTGACTAACAAGAGAAAATACAGTGAAACCTCTATCCATCGTTCCCGGAACTATCGTTTTCCCGGATGCATCGTCCGTTTTGTTCGGTCCCGAATACATCCCATATAAAATAATGTTACATTTTCCCGCTTCTATCGTTCCTCGAACTATCGTTTTATCGCATCAAAAATCTTAGTCCCGGCCCACAATGTTCCCGCAATGATCGTTTCTGAGAAATTAAAATGCTGGGTTTTGAGATAAATTAATACCGAAAGACGCACAATGTGTTTGGAATACACAGTAGCGATAACCTGTTATGTCGCCCAACCAGCACATTCTTTTGGAATGAGGGTCAGTGGTGCAGGGGTGATAGTTGGAGTGAA